AAGGAAGAAGAAGAATTGACATTGAATTGAAGAAGAAGGAAGAAAAAGGAAGAAGGAAGAAGAAGGAAGAAGACGGAAGAAGAAGAAGGAAGAAGAAAGAAGGAAGAAGGAAGAAGGAAGAAGAAAGAAGAAGGAAGAAGGAAGAAGGAGAAAGAAGAAGAATTGAAATTGAATTGAACTGAATTGAAGAGTAGCGAGGTCAATCACCAGGTGTCCATGCACCCGTTAAGAAATACAGATACCAAATCGCAACCTCGTGAACATAGCCAATGCTCAGACGCGCACATTCCTCGACGCAAAAAAAAAAAAAAAAAAAAAAAAAAAAAAAAAAAAAAAAAAAAAAAAAAAAAAAAAAAAAAAAAAATCGGCTGGTTGCGCCCCAGCAATCATCAAAAGTCTACCCTCTCCCCCGCATCCACCACCAAGAAGAAGAAGAAGAAGCAGGAGCAATTACTCCATGGGACAGTTCAGCATAGGAAAATCCAGAGGATTGGACACGAGGCAGGAAGGGGGACAGAGGCGAAGAGCAAGGGGAGGACAAGGTCGAGGAGACAGACGAGGCGGAGTTGAGAGGAGAAGAAGAAGAAGAAGAAGAAGAAGAGTGGAAACAGGGGCCAACTGCCTTTCGTACACGGGCTCAAGTATTCTTCAATCGGAAGAAAACCAAGGGAGGAGGGAGGAGGGGGAGCGGAGAGCAGAGGGTGGACAAGGTCGGGGAGGAAGAGAAGAAGCAGAAGAAGAAAGAAGACGACGACGACGACGACGAAGAAGAACAAGAAGAAGAAGAAGAAGAAGAGCAGGGAATATGAAGAAGCGCAGGCAAGGAGAAGAAGAAGACGACGACGACGACGAAGAAGAAGAAGAAGAAGAAGACGGAGGGACGGAGGGAGAGGGGGATTGGAAAACAAAGGAGAGAGGACACGGGGAGGGGGAGGGAAGAGGAGGGAGGGAGGGAGGGAGGGAGGGAGAGGGAGAGGGGGGAGGGAAGAGGGAGGGGAGGGGAAGGCGAGGAGGACGGGAGAATTGCCGTCACAAGACAATCACAACCTACACGAATATAACAACAATTCACTGGGGAAAAAAAATAAAAAATCAGAAGCGCAGGCAAGGAATATGTGCTCGGTACTGAACGCCTCATTTTATAATCGCTTTCCTTTTACTTGTTTGTTTCCTCACCCGATTGTGTTCGGTTTCCTACTGGTAGTCCTTTGATATATCTCGGAAAGCCCAAGATACACAAATATGTATGTATGTATATCTATTGTCACAAAGGTATCAGAGCGCAAAAGCGAAAAAAAAAACAGAAAGAAAACAAAGAAAATAAATTCTTTTTTTTTTTTTTTGTTATATATATATCGTCAAGCAGAGCTGCCAGGTAACCGGTAGGCAGACAGGGAGAAGAAGGGGACGACAAAACGAGAGGAGGCTGTGACAGACTGTTTCGTCGGAGTTTCACCGACTCACTCATCAGCAAGACTGCACCCTCGACAGTCTATGTGGCGGGTGCATCTGGCCATGTTCTTGCGGGCAGTTCATTCTCATTTTGCACATCTCGAGAGTGGTGTGGCGATGCCTTATATATATATTGTCACATTGTGAATCAGAGCGCAAAAAAGGGGAAAGAAAAAAGGAAAAGGAAAAAAGGGGTAGGGGGAAGAGGTAAGGAAAGCTCCACCTGTTCATAACCTCTTACGTACAAGGCCAGCCACGTGGATGACAGGTTGAGCGCTGGCTGCCCCCATCCCCGTGTGTCACAAGGACCCACTTGCACGCAGC